ACATATTAGGAGTTACCATATCTATATTTAACTTTGGTTACAAAGATAAACTAATGTTGATGCATAAATCAAAAACCAAACTAGAGTAAACGTAAACCACAACAGAGGTTTTGACTTGAAAAAGAAGGCTGTGTACAGTAGGGTTAGGTGAATAGATCAACCATCAACAACAGTTTTTTAAATATTTTTTTCCATTTCATTGAAGAAAATTTTAACATATACATAAAACTAGAACTCACATTAAAACATCTGCTCTTAGCAAAATCACTGTGAATGAAGACAAGTTTACATTAAAACTGCAAGCACTGATAAAGTGCTCTTGTACCCCAGGGCGATTTGAATTGTGTGTACATCCAGCTAAAGCAGGCGCTGGTCTGTCTGTCCAGTTTCGTTAAGCACATCCAAAGAAAACAGAACAAAATGCCAGTTATGCACAAACCGGGACATATCTAACTTCGCTAAGCTGCCCCATCCATATGAACGTCTTTTCAGTTTTTCAAAAAGCTCTAAACAACACACAASAGTTTTGAAGCTTCTTGGATAACRGGTGTGAATRGGAGATTTTTCAAAYACTAAAAGAGATGTTTGCGCTGCCACTAGGTGGTGCAGTGGTGAATTTAAGACATTAGCATAYGGCCATATTCAGGACTTGATGCCCATGTATAATGTACATTTTTAATAAGTTCATACAAATTACACTGATGTGACTCCCAAAGCCATGTTTGATGAGAAGACTAAAAATTCCCTCACTAATCAGATTTACCAACAAWCAATGATAAATTTTGTGTACTAGGTTGTGAAGAAGCTTTGAAAAAAAGAAACCAAACAAAACAGACATCTGACTTGATATAAAGATCAAATCAATTCAGGTAATAAGGCATGAAATATAAAAGCCTGGACAACATAAAGGAGAATGTTAAAATGGTAGTAAAAAGATAAAAACACAATGAAATAGCAGAAACAAAAGGCAGCAGCAAGGAGAGGAACAATTAACACAAAAATACAGAAGGATCATTGGTGAGCTCATTAAAAGAGGTAGAAACAGAAAGAGAGACTCAAATGAAAACATTAGGACAGAGAAGAAAACACAATCCATCACTGCTGGTSTGTTTTGACTCTTCGAGCCCTTCACCAGCTCCTCCTGATTGCAGATGGCCACATTCCTTTATTCTTCAGACTCTTGTTTTGTCTACACTTCTATCTGTACATTCATCTTTTGCTTTCTGTAGTTTTCCCTTCTTTTGAACGCCTTATCTATAKMCTGGCCCTTGCCTTCCTAYGCAGTTKAGCTCAGTTCTAGTTTTCCTTCACTGCTCCGTCTGGRATTKCTCCCATKGACAAGGATTTCTTATTTTACCTGGGCCAATCAGCAAACAGAAGGCGGAGTTTTAAACAACGTTGATTTTCTGCACAGTGTCTGCTGTTTATYAWTGGCAGTGGAGGAAGTGAATGAAGCCAGTCTGTGTTGATAAGGCTTCTAAATTAAAATAAATTTGTCTGACAAAGCAGCAGYTCTCATTTAGTCATCTTSTTYGGCTTGGTACTTTTCTCCTCTCAGTAGGGTTGTTTACAGCGCAYGCAATTTCCAGTTAGCTTCTTAGCTTAGCCTCCTTCATAGCGACATACTTCATGGCCAACTGATCCAATCATTTTAAACTTTAGCAGAGGCCACGCCTCCAGCAAGAATCGCTTCTCTATGCACAGTATTCATGAGAAGCTTATGTAGGCTGCCATGACASTCAGTAGCYCCGYCCACAGCCCTCTCCACTGTTCRCTTTTTCTGGTGCGCAAGAAATTCATTCATTCAGATAGTTATGATATGAGTGCCTAAAGGCAACCTAAACAAAAATGTTTTTGGAATGTGAGAGGAAATCGAAGTACCCAGAGAAAACACACAGAAACACAAGAACATGCAAACTCTGCACAGAAAGACCCCAGTCCCAGCCTGAGGACTGAACAGTGCTAACCATTTATTCAATCATATAGTGCTTTTACAGTTTCTGGGATTAAAAACTTCTGGTCCCCATTTCAAAGCTCTAATATAATGTGTATAAAGTATTACAGAACAGCACTGTTAAAGCACGGTTAACAGATTTATTGTCCAGATTCTCAAGCTTTGACATTGTGGAGGAGACGTTCCAGTGGAAATAAAAGTCTTCATAGAGACTCAGGCCTTAAGTAACCTCCCAGTAACTAGTGGCAGATATATGACCCTAATACCATCTGACTGTCACAGCTGCTGAGTGTGCAAACATTGTGTAGGTCTGCTTAAACATTTAGGCTCAGGGACATAATTGTCAACTACAGTCTTTTATGAAGAATAAAGGAGATTTTCTAACATTCCCTTTCATATTTTGTACTTTTTTGTCTATATACTTCCACTTTCACTTTTCCCAGCCTGTTCCTCACCCATATTTTGAATAATAGTCATCTGAAATGTTGAACCAAAACACACCATTTTAACCTCCATCTCGACCTCACCTTGAACTGACAAGCCTTATTTACTTGAGAACCAGCATCACTTGTTTTGGATACAGGTTTTCCTCAGAGAAAAACAAAGTGACAGACATATTTTCCACTGCTGGTATGCTGAAGAAGTGGGGAGGGTTAACTGCCTTGCTCAAGGACATGTTGTGAAAGTGAAGAATTAGTCTCACTCAAATTTTTCTCTCCCACAGCCGTTAGTCATTCTCTCTCTTTCTCTTCATGTAACGTTCACCTCCAAAACCCCTCCACTCATCGTCCAGRCCCCACTGCACAGATCCCTCTATCCTGACTGCTGCTCCCTCCATCACTGTCTCACCTTAGAAAAACCTCCAAAGCTTCATCTCCCTGTTTTCCCACCACCCAACAGCTTMTATTTTACTTCAGCAGGCACTGACGAATGAGTAGGTTTGAAGGAGGTGGAGCTGTGTGAATGGATGAGAAGGAGAATGTGTAGAATGAAAGAGGCACTTTATGAAGTACTTCAACTTGTGGTAGTATTTGGAATGWATTAGCAAAATTCATGTGTCTAAGTTTAATTAATACAACCCTCTAGGGGTGTAAGAAAATATTGATACACTGAAAGATCGTGACATTTCATGTCCCGACACTGTATCGATATTCTAAAACCCTGTATTGATTTTTAATTAAGGTTTAAAATGTCAACTTTCCTGCCAGCCGTTCATTTTTATGTTGTAGTTCAGCCTCTGACCGCTAGTTGGCAGCAGTGAGCCAG